TGGTGCTGTAAACATTTTAAGATCAAATATGTGCTTAATCTTCATTTAATTTATTCAAAGCCTTTATAATTGTCATTTCCTTATCCGGTTATTAAAGTGTTTTATTGTTATCCACTTATTTACGACGATGGTTTCCAGCAGGACTGACTGCATAAATATTGAGCTGAAATACAAAACAATGAAACTACTTTTTACTTTTTATGTAAAAAATATGAATTAACGACAGGCAAAGATGATGGCCTGGTCACGAGTCTTAGGGCGTTTCCCCTTCGACAGAACCGGGTGCACAGACAGTTCCACCTAGAAGTTATGCCTGTTTTGAAATTCTTTATTTTCGATCGTACTAATGAATGAAATTTATTTTCCTATTGAACAGAATTGATTAAAATTAATTTCCATTTGTATATACTAAAATTTCATCGTTTTCTTACACTAAGCGCTTTTACGTTTGTTTTATTTTTTTAGGTGACCATCATAGCTTTCTCTGATATATAAGCGTAATAACCGCAGGTTGTCCTTACTATCAGAGTGTCCGTGAGGGACTAGGTGTTAGGATCCCTGTGTATATTTGGATCTTGTATAACGTTTGTAAAACGTTGTCGTTAGCAAAAAAACTGTTGTTTTAATACCTTGAAGTTTAGTTAATCTAGTTCAAGAAGCAGTAAATTTTTGGGAGAAGGCCGGGCCTCTGCACCGACCAAATTAACCATCCACTCCCCCTCAAAGTCAAATGGTCACCCCCTAATGACCGGGTGTCCGTAATATCGGGATGTTGGTAGTCGCGAATAACTATCTCGTTATTTCAACTTTATTTACAGTCTGGTCATGAGTTTACATGAGATTAGAAAGATTGCTTTTTGATATTCTTTTGCCTCGCTTTATCTCTTTTTTTGAAGTTTTGATTTTCAAAGCTCTCATGCCAGCATAATTCTCTTCGTTTTTCAAAGTTTTTGCTTGATTATGTGGGTTGGCTGAGTTCGGGAATAAAATTGTTGACACGATTTTATCGAGCTCATTTTATGATGTCCCGTGTTGCCAAGCCCCATGGAGTGTCTTTTTAAAAATATGATAATTTCGTTTGTATTTATGCAAAACTCTTTTAAGCTAAAACAATCTAAATATATTTAGAGGGATCAGGTTACGAGCCTATTTCAAATACAGTACTGTAATATTGATTTTATTGGGCAAAATYATTCATTATAAAACTCAACAAGTTTCAACTTCATTAGGGGCGATCCATTTGATCTTTTGAGGGGGAGGGGGCGGATGAAGATCTAGTTGGTGCAGGAAATATTTTATTTTGACTTCAGGCGCGTGCTTGCCATTTTTTTTGTAAATGTACAAAAGCTTTAGTGGAGATTTTTTCAAAATTTTGCCTTGCAGGAATTTTTTAGGCCCTTCGCGTCTTCCCCAGAGAATTACATATTCATTCAGACATTTACAAACATGAGGCTTCCCGAAGTAATGATGAACAATAACTAATCGATAACTAATAGGTAAAGAACTATTTGAAAGATAGAAATAATATAGGGGATATTTGACAATATATAAATACTTATTGTCCTGGCGGCTTCGCTTCGAGGACTCTTCNCCACGTGACACTCACACAGCCCTTCTACCACGTGACACTCACACAGCCCTTCTACCACGTGACACTCACACAGCCCGTCTTCTACGTGACACTCACACAGCCCGTCTTCCACGTGACACTCACACAGTCCGTCTACCACGTGACCCCACACAGCCCGTCTACCACGTGATACACACTCAGCCCGTCTACCACGTGACACCCATACAGACCGTCTACCACGTGACCCCCACAGAGCCCGTCTACCGCGTGACACCCACAAAAATCGTCTATCACGTGACATCACACACACCTCGTCTACCACGTGACACTCACAGAGCCCGTCTACCACGTGACACTCACATAGCCCGTCTACAACGTGGTACCCACACAGCCCGTCTATCACGTGACACCCACACAAACCCCGTCTACCAAGTGAAGATAAAATTGGGGCAATGAGGTTACACTTTAAACTGTCTTCGTATTCAATTTAAGAAGTGGGCAATAAATTTAAGAGGTATTGATCTTGAGTGAGCCAGCTTTGAGTGAAACTGCAATTTCTGCTGTGAGCATTTCATGAAATGCTTTCAATATTTTCATATCATTTCAGTTTTGATGAAAACACGCATGGGAAATATCTAAAAAAATTATATAAACTAAACACAATGGAAAACGGATTGATATACCTGTAGTCAAAAATAGAAGGTAATATCTGTTCCTGAGATGAATGAAATTGTTATTTTATTGCCCYAAAAGACCTGGGTGTCATTATTTGACTATATCTGACAAAAATGGAGGTGTGGAGGGTAGTTTTTAGAGGAATCCGTCTAGATCAGGCTAGGCCTGGTAGTGGTGATGATTATGATTAAAATAAGAAGATTCAAGAAACTGGYATGTAGTGCTTAAAACCTTTAATTAAATACCTTAGCATAATCTTATAGTATACCATTTCGATGGTAACTTTATCTTGAAAATTAACCCATTACATGTTTTACGTTATCCACCTTATTACGATAGTCTGCATCACTATTGACTGTTGAGCTGAAATAGAAAACAACGAAAACGTTACTAGGAGCCTTCCTCTTATTAATAGGTTGTTAAAACGTCATTTAACCCTCTTGGTGCTATTTTTAGAATTGCTCGTCATTATATAAGTCCAGGGCAAAACAGCCAATCAGAAAGCGTCTTCAACAATATGGTTTTGTGAATGGGCGGCCGCCGACAGCAGTTAAGAGAAGAAAGATCTTGTACTTCTCAAAGTTCATTTTCAGGGTTTTAAAGTTTACTTTTAGTAGAAATATGTCCCAAAAAAGGAAAGCAGAACCATCTTTCCCTTCATAATCACCTTTCGCTTCATWTTTCATAAGTATATAAAAGAAAAATGGATGAAATACTGATGTAAAGGATAAGGATCTGCTCTCACTGTTTATTCTTCATACTATCGTGCCCCAGAGGATTTTGGCAAATATCATGAAGAAATGAAATATACGATTTTCCAAGCTTTTTACTTTGTGTAAACTCACCTCCTTTCCCTCATCAATTGTGTTGTTTACCTTTAATAGTATTTGCAGCCATACAGCTC